GTCGGTGTTTCCCTGTGCGCTTCCCCCGGAAGTACGGGCTTGTTTGGGAAGAAGGCCCGGTGGGGCAGACGTGTGGCGATCGTGAAACTTACGGGGAACCTGGCGGTTCCGCCAGGGAAATCTGTGCCGAGAGCCCCGGTGCGGGGGTGTGGCTGCTGAGGGACAGCTGGGTCGGTTGCTGCACAGGCCTGGGCACAGGAGGGCACCTCCCTCAACACGCTGCGTTCTGCTTTTTAAACACCTCTTCCGGGTACTTGGAGTTGCAAAGACTAAAGAGAATGCGTTGTTTCTGCAAGTCAGCCCTGAGTCCTTACACACGGCTCTGTCAATGTTTAATTATGTTCCTAAGCCGGTTGTGCGTGCTGTGTGTGACACTCGGAGGGCCTGGGCTGGCTGGTGGTGAACGAGCTGTTCTAATAGTGGTTACCTGCCTTGCCTGTCTGTACTGTGAAGGAAGAAACTTAGACTGCACATAAATATCATTCAGATTAAATGTAAATGCCTGGTGATTTTCTCGTCATGCAATTCAGTTTTGTTTCTTCAGCAGTGTTGAAAGTAAATATCCCCAAAATAACTTGCACTGGTCACAGAAACAAAGAATGGTTTAGGCTGGAAGTGACCTTAAAGATCATCTAGTTCCAGCCCCCCCTGCATGTGCAGGGGCAATATGTAATATTCACCACCCCAACAACTCAGATAAACAAACAACAGAAAAAGCTGTGAAAGCATTAATCCTGGCAGCTTTTTCTTGGAGCTACTACAACGAGGTCCATGTATGTAGTACGTGTGTGTACGTTTCACCAGTGTGAGTTGTCATCACAGGAAGCAATGAAGTCAGACCAGAGCCAATAAACTCCTTGGCATTTCTTTGCCTCTGTCCAATCCTGATGCTGTGTCCAGTGACTGATGTAACTGCTAATACTTTTTTCTTTTTTTTTTTTTTTTCTTCCCCTCGGTAATTAAGAGAACCTAAAAATGATACTTAAAATTTTTCGGTTCTGTGTGGTAATAGGATTTCTGTGCTAGGACATGGGTCTTTCACCACTTTTTCCAATTGTATTACTGAAGCATTGGATTGATGAAAAGGTTTTTATATAGTAATTAGGGAAATACTGCCGTTGCTCTCAGGACTTCAAAATGTTCCAGTTATAAGCTCTTTGAAGTGAGTTCTTCCTCTTGTGTTTCAATCCATGTATTGCGGTAACTGGAGGAATATTTATATGCAGAGTGTTTAGGTCAGTCATGTGCAACCGCGTTTGTCAGTGGCACGTCATCTGTGTTTGCAGGGTTTGTATTTAAGACTGAGGTTAAAAATACGTGAAGAAACTTTAAAATCATGCCAGTGTGACAAATATATATGTGCAGTATTGATAAATGCTTTTAAAATCTTCTGATAACGTTTTTTCTAGTGTAAAGTCTGAAGTTTCCAACGTGTCAGTTGAGCTTAAGGTAAAATACTGATGATACACGAAACAGATGCAGTGCACAGTTTAGCCTGTTCTAGAGGTTTTTAGGCCAACTTTTCTGCTGATGTGTAATGCATATAGTAATACAAGGGCAAGCAGCGGTCAGTTGTGCCAGAAAAAAAATTAAATTTAAAAAATAAATCTACATTTTTCTGTCACAGAATCCATTCACTAAACACAAACATAGAATTACACTGTGTCCATGATATTCTTAAGGCAGACACTGATTCTTTTCCTACTACTGTCATTATTTGGCTCCTTCTTTGCATATCATGCCATGAAACGAATAATACATTTTGCTTGTAGTTCATTATCAGCTGCATGTTCTTCTGATGTAGTCAAGTGTTTCTTCCCATATATTGTGAACCTCATTGTGGAATGTTTGAAGTAATAAACATATTCCAGTGTAACACATTACTTTTTGAGATAAAAACTTGTATTACTTTTGTCATGTGATTTTTCTAAAATTAAACTTAAAATGGAGGGGAGAAAATAAAAATTCACTTTAAAACATAAATTAAGTTGTGATTGTGAAGCTTCATAGTACGTAGTATTTTTATTTATGGTCTCATCCTGAAAGGATATAAAACTAGCCTGTAGTATCTGGAAATATATTTTAGATTATGTGAAATTTTTAAACCAAGAGTTTAAATGTAACTAGTATTTATTGTTTCCTAATTTTTTTTTTAATTTTTTTTTTTTAATGTAGGTGAAAGGATACATGTTCACTTCAAGTAGAAAAGAGCATGTTCCCAAATTGCTCCAACTTGGGTCGTCCACCCTTCCCTCCAAAGCATCAACACCAGAGTAATTTCTTCAATAAGCTTCCTCTAAACGTACCACCTACTCTTGCCTCTCACCAGCAAATTATTGATGTTCAGTTTAGTTTTTGGAATACAGCGTAAGTACAGTAGGACTTGGTAGTGGGGATCGAAAGTTGGAGAGTTAACAGTTTTTTGAAAGAAGCATTTCTGTTTATGGAGAACATTAAAAACAGTGAAAAACGTGAAACTGCATGACACTTAAAATAGGAAGGCATCACGTGTAAGACAGAGCTGTATCGTTTTTTTGTTGGTTACCTACAGGTTGTAATGCTCTCCTGCATTCTGCATGATGCATGAGGTTCTGTTGCACTGGTTAGATTTAATAATCCATGGTTCAGTTTTAAAGACCTTCAGTTGTATTTTTTTACCGGGGGAAACGGAGGATAATATATGGGGAAGAAACCTTTATTCTCAGGGCTTGATTTGGAGACACCATAGTGTTATTTAGGCTCCTAAATTTAACAGTATGTTAAAATAATTTGTTTGCTAACCTCTGCTTGCATATGGAAGAATCATAATGTATTGTTTTAATGAGAAATAGATAAAGAAAAACCTCTTGGTTTTCGGTAGAAAAGACAGATGTATTGCACTCAACAACACCAAAAAATGACAGGACCTGCGGAGTTAAGAAAAACTTATAACCATAAAAAGCATCGTAGTTACCACATGAATAACAGCTATGGACTGTAGTCTTTCCAGGGCTCTTTTGAGTGGGAACCTTGCAACTGTCCCAGCTGTTACACCACAACCAATGGCTTATGGAAGTGGCAATCCAGTACCTACGTCTGATTCCCCCACATCATTCCAAGGAAGGAAGTAAGTTCTCTGTATGTGTGTGATTAATTCTGGTTATAAAGTGTCTGTGGTGAAGCTTGTCAAATACCAATTTATTGTGCAACTTGAATTTTGTTGGAAGTAGCAAGTCTACCGAACAAAATGCTTTTTGATGAAGCAGGCCATCTTATGCCTCTTTAAAGCATTCATGTGTCTGTTTCTGGGAATTTTAGAACTCAAAAGTGTCTTGGTACGTGCAGTCTTTCTGCTGCAACAGCCTGAGCCTGGCAGAACTGTAACTTACATGTTTTAATACTATAATAGGCTGTAGTCTGTGTGTGCTTGGCTACAAGAGGGTTTGTGTCCATAAATTGGTGTTCTTTGCCTGTAAGTTTAGCAAGTTAAGAGTGAGACTACACCATTGATATTTTATGGGGTTTGGGAAGTTCTTCTGATGACACACTAGGTGTTTCTCATTATTTTCTTAATTATGTGAAGCTTTATTTTTTCATAGAGAAAGTGCTAAATTCAAGCATGTGTAAGTTGTGGGGTTTTTTAAGAGGAATTTTATGGAGGCATAGGTTTTCTACTTTTCAAAAAACTAAAATGTATTAAATTTAGATAGCTTCTTTTTAGTTTGGTTGCAACAGAGAGCAGAATTTCAGATTTTCTTCTAACGTTCTAGAATAAAGTAACTCCTCCTTACTAGTTCAGCAATAGTAATTGATACATGTTGTGAATCAGCTGATAGTGAGGAAGCTTTATGTAGTCTTCTCTTCAAAATTATTTCCTGTGTACTATTTTTCTTCTAGATTTAACAGATGAGAAAATAGGCATGATTAAATATGTGGTATGAAGTTATAGTGAAGTGTGTACAATCACAGAGTGGTCTGGGTTGGAAGGGGCCTTAAAGAGCATCAAGTTCCAACCTGCTTGTCGTGGCCAGGGACAGCTCCCACTAGTCCAGGTTGTTTAGAGTCTTGTCCAATCTGGCCTTGAACACTTCCAGGGATGGGGCATCCAGAACTTCCCTGGGCAACTTGTGCCAGTGTCTCACCACCTTCACACTAAATAATTTCCTCCTAATGCCTAACCTAAATCTACCCTCTTCCAGCTTAAAGCCATTGCCCCTTGTCCAGTCACTACACACTGTAAAAAGCCCCTCTCCAGCTTTCCTGTGGCCCCTTCAGGTACTGGAAGGCTGCTATAAGGTCTCCCTGGAGCCTTCTTTTCTCCAGGGTGAACAGCCCCAACTCTCTTAGCCTGTCTTTGTTAGAGAGGTGCTCCAGCCCTTTAATCATCTCCATGGTCCTTTTCTGGACCAACTCCAACAAGTCCATGTCCTTTTTATGTTGGGAACTCTGGGGTTGAACATAATACTCCAGGTGCAGTCTTATGAGTGTGGAGTAGAGAGGGAGAATGTCCTCCCTTGGCCTGCTGGCCATGTTTCTTTTGATGCAGCCAAGGACATGGTTGGTTTTCTGGGCTGCAAGCGCACACTGCTAGCTCATGTTGAGCTTCTCATCAAGCAGCATCCCCAAGTCCTTTCTCTCAGAGCTGCTCTCAATTAATTCTCTGCCCAGTCTGAATTTCTGCTTGGGATTACCCCAACTCAGGTGCATGACCTTGTACTCGGCCTGGTTGCACTTTGTGAGGTTGGCTTGGGCCTATCTCTCCAGCCTGTCAAGAGTCCCTCTGGATGGCATCCTTTCCCTTCAGTATGGCAACCTCACCACACAGTTTGGTGTTGGCAGCCAAATTGCTGAGGTTGCACTCGATCCTACTGTCCATTACTGTAGTTTTATGAACAATCAGTACATTGATACACATGAACATTTTATTTAATGCTCTTTGATTGACAAAAAAAAAAAAAAAAGTATGAGTCCTGCCATGCTGGTTAGCTTTGTGCAGTACTTGATGTATAAACAAAACATTAATTCCTCTTATTCTTTACTGTGGATGGGCCACAGCGTTCCACCACTGGTCAGTTTTCAGTGCTTTTCCTTAATGAGGAGTTCATATGCCAAGTGGGGTCTCCAAGATCAATGTATCTTTTCAAATATGTTTTAATTCCTTTGATAAAAAGACATCGGGTTTATGACCCATGTAACTAAACACAGTCGTTGTATCATTTTGTCAAATTAGTGTTGCAGTTTTTGCCCAGGTTACAGAGTTTACTGTCTGTACAATCTAAGGCGAAGCCAAATGCTACATTTTGAATTTTGAATGCCATCTGTGTTAACTTTCTTTTTCTCCCCTCTCTAATACCAAATTAATTTTATTCATCAATCACAAAACTTTTCATTGCATTATGTGGATTAAAAGAAAAAAGTACCCTTATGTAGTTTGTATGTATTTAAAAAAACAAACAAACACAACAAAGAAACAGGAAAAAAAAAAAGTACATTGTCACCAAAATAACATAACGAGCTTTTTGAGCAGTCCTGCGTACCTGAATTTGCCATTTAGGTTTCACCTGGTTAATACAGGCATTGTAAAGCAGTTGCATCAGTTCACTTAAAGGGTAGCTGCATTTTTGCATTTTGTGTTCTTTTTCCATTCCAGATTTATTTCACCTAATATCTAGGATGAGCATGCCCTTTGTTCTATACATTACGTGGTTTCAATGAAATAGCATAATGAAGCATTGCTATATGTACTTCGTAGCAACTGTCTTTTAGTTGTAGGTTGGAGCTTACAAATTTGAGGAATTACTGTCCTTTTTTACAGTCCTTTTTTTTTTTTTAATTTTTAGGAGACGAAGTGAACAAAGTGTTCCACGTGACGTCAAACGTCAGCGTCTTCATTCACATCATTCTGAAACAACTTCAGTTAACCAAGCAGTGCCTTTACCAGAAGACCGTAGATGCTCTTTCCCAGGATCAATTCAATCTCCACTGTTCCCTTCATGTGTCCCTCCGTTGCAAGATCCTTTGTTTCCAGACCCAATAGAAACCTCACTACCTGTGGCCAAAGATAAGGTAATATCTTCCTTTTCCTGTGCTTTGCAACTGCCTTCTGAGTAGGCAGGGTCCAGTGGTGCTGTAGGAGACTGCAAGATTTTCTTCAAGAGTCCCTAATACTGTTAAGGGGTCTGTGTCACTGAGCTGTCATTAGAAGGAATATCAATAAATATAGCTGCCACTGTGGTTTTCAGTAGCCTTCTTGTGTTTTTTTTCGGATTTGGAGCATTTTTGGGGGGTAGAGATAGTGTTCCCTTCTGTTATTTCACTTCCATACTAAGGTTGGGAAACCTGTATGCTCCAGAAAGTAGGAATTGGGATGGTCTGTTACTCATATAGTTTGAGGGCTCAGAGAATCCTGATGGAAAAAACCCAATGCTAGTAATAGGATCGAAGTCCATTCTGAATAAATGCGGTGTTGACCATATAAAGATGTCCTTTACCTCTGTTCAGAATGAGATAGAAGTTAGCTAGTTCTGGAATATAGAGGAGGATGTCTGCTTTAGGTGGACAGCGGAGTTGGAGCTGTGTTTTTGGTTCTTTTTCAATTAAAAAACCCAAACATGGTACTAATAAGTCTTCATACTTGATCTGCACCAGCATGAGAGAACATTTTTATTGTTGATATATATGTTGAAATATCTATTAATTACAGCATATAACAGCCTTGTGAAAGAGAAACAGTTAGTACCTCCTTCCACCATAGATCTGACTACTTCTTTAGTAGTTTATGTGGGATGAAAAAAGAAAGCTAATGGAAATAATTTTTAATATTTATTTCTCCATATTACTGTTAGGCAAACTGTTGACACTGAAGTCAGCAGAAGATATCCCTGGTCTTTCACTGCTTATTCCTTGAAAGGCTGCAGATACCAGTGATATAAAAATAGTTTTCTGTGGATAGACATTTTATAACATTGAATAAATTTAAATGTAAAAACTTGGCACAAATTTATTCCATAGAGTTGTTCAATATGAATTCAGGTGTGGTAGAACTGTATAAAAGGGAATAGGTCATCTGAACTGATGCTGGATATTTTATATTTTTTTTAATGCACTCTTCTGTATTTCATGTAATTCCCTCTCTGGCAGGAAAGAATGTTCACTTCTCTGTATCTTTACTTCTTGTATGTGTGTGTCAAGTTAAGTCAGCAGGTTTTGGAGTTGTTTCAAGCATGTCAGCAACAGACTTGTGATTTGAACAGAAAAGAACTCTGCAGAACACAACTCCAAAGAGAAATTCAGCTCATTTTTCCACGTATGTTTTGAATATGATTATTTAATACCAGTTTGAGTCATAGAATTATTTGGGTTGCAAGGGATCTTAAAAATCACCTAGTTCCAATCCCTCTGCCATGGGACTTCTCCCACTAGTCCAGGTTGCTCCAAGTGCCATCCAACCTGGCCTTGAGCACTTCCAAGGGTGGGGCATCCGCAGCTTCCCTGGGCAACCTGTTTGTGTCTCACCACCCTCATAGTGAAGAATTTCTTCCTAATGTCTAACCTAAATCTACCTTCTTCCAGTTTAAAGCCATTACCCCTTGTCCTATCAATACACCTTGGAAAAAGTCTTTCCCCAGCGTTCTTGTTCTTTTGGTTCATTCTGCTTTTTCCTCTTAAAGTATGGTAGGTCACATTAATTTTTGTTCTGTAATTCTTCTGTTACAGGTAGCAGACTCTTTTTGGTTGGGTCCTCACTAAATGGGTTTGGCACTCGTAGCAGTGATGGCGATTTGTGCCTGGTGGTTAAAGAAGAACCAGTAAGTAATTTAAAACATATATTGTTAAAAAAAAATGTTTTTTAAATGTGTGTGCTTTTATAAGGCTAGATTCTAAAATGAGAAACAAATGGTCACATCCTTTTGATTTAATGACATATTTTGCATTTATAATAATGATGAACTGTGGGCCCAATAATGTTGCAAATATGAATTTAACCTATGAACCCTTTAACCTAACGAAATACTAAAAAAATAGGCCTTGCCTTCACTCTGTACATGAAAAAAACATAGCAAAACAGAGAAGTAAATTGACTGGAATTGTGAAGAAAACTGTTTAGTGAACTGTAACTCATTTTACATGCCACTAATTTTAGTGAGCATGCATGAGGAGGAATTTGATTCACAAAATGTCTTAGGTATTTTTGTCGAAAAAATGAGTTGAGTGTAGGTTGAGAGAAAAGATGTAACAAAAAAAAGAAATTAAATAGAGCATATTTTTGTAATAATTGAAGCATCATTGAAAAGGGAGGAAGGGACTTTTTTGTGTATGAAGGCTATGTTTTAATCAATTTCTATGATTTGTGAATGTCTGATAGTTACTTTGCGTAGAGAATATGATCTGCTCTATCTGGCTCTTGCCACACTAAATGTGTATGTAGGCTGTGGAATTGTGTTAGTATACACTATCATGTCTTATTATGAGAATTAAATTTATTTGAAATGTAAAGCATGCTTACTTGGAAGATCTAAATGAGAGATACCAACTTTTTTCTTTAATTTTAATACCATATTTCAGGTAAATCAGAAGACTGAAGCAAGGCATATACTCAGCTTAGTCCAAAACCTCTTCATTACTAGACTTTGTAAGTTCCCGGCAGTAGTGAGGTGGTAAGATTATTGGCAATTCTGGAAGTAGAAGTATTGCTGCACACTTGTAACTAATTTATGTAATTGCATCTTGTCTAGCTTCTAATCACAATACTGTTTGCAGAAAAGCGATAAACATTTAGTGATTTTACTTATCTTGGTGATGATGGTAAGTAATCAGAAAAACATTACAGTTACCTTGCAAACTAGTAACTAGTGGATTTTAAGAATGGGTAGCATCTGAAATGACTTGAATTGTGGACCACAATTTGGGGGTGGGTGGGAAGTAGATTTCTGTTTGGGAACTTCTAAGTTAACTCTTACTGGCCTTTTAGATTGAAGTGCCTTCCTGTGGATAATAAGAATTCATATATAATACATTAGTCTGTGAGAATTGGTTTTTACTTGGAGGCCTTGATAGCAGTGAAATAATTACATGCCCTGTAAAGAAAGCATTAAGTGTTGGCAGTACTAGCACATATAGGAGAAACAGGTCAATCCATAATTCTTGTAAGTTGTTGTTTAGATGTCCTTCAGCTGAGGAATTCACCTGGGCAATTCTTAACTTAAACAGGAAAGCCTCCTAATTCAGAGGCTTTTGTACCATCCTCTGAATTATAAAAGACCCTGTCCTTTATTGACTTCGAAATTTTTTAATGGGTGAGGGTGCATACCCAGATTTTCACAGCTCACCCGAAGAAAGAATTTATAGATTAATTGCAGAACAGACATCGGATACTTAATGGCTTATTACTATTGTGTATTGCTGTTTACATAAGGAATCCAGAACTTTGGGTTTGTCTAGGATGCAGATAATTCCAATGCTTTCTGAGAAGCACAGTGTTACATTTTCAGGATTCAGAAAGGGAGCATTCTGAATAAGCTGTCACCCTCTTCTGCTTTTCAGGGGATTGTGTTCTGTTAGAAAAACGTTTGTTTACCAGGAAATTGGAGTATCAGAAAGACATGATGGTCATGTGGGAGTAATCCCTGAAGGTTTTCGCTTGTGCCATTGCTCTTTTTTTATGCTTTCCTAATGCTCCGTTATCTTGCAAGTGCCTTTGTTCAGCTTCATTTAATAAAAATGTTCTTTGGACAGTGAGGCAGGACAAAACACTGCTGATACTACTGTTCCTGTCAGACTCTTTTAATTGTGGTATGTAGACCTCTTAGATCATCTCTTCATGATGATAGAGACATCACTATAGACATGGATTCCTATACCTGCCAGTCAGTCCTTGTGCCCATGCATGGATGTTCCGTGGGTGGAACTGATAGACAAAAGTTGGAAAATGTTAAGCTGGTTCAAAATGAAAAGGCTTTACCATGTGGTTCTTTGCATTTGAATTTAGTTATTTTACAAACTGGAGCTCAACTGGGCTAAGATTCAGTACTTCTGGAATAAGAGAGTTGCCTAGTTACTTTGATTAAAGCTTATTTAGGCAAAAATTATTACTGTCATCCATAATTTCAAAACAGCTTGCAGATTTGATTTGGCTGGGGAGGGAGTTCTCCCAGGCTGGACTTCAGAAGCTAATAGATTCATTGGCCTTTTCTTCATCTTTGGGGAAATGATCTTAGCAGCATGTGCTTCACTGGTGTCTTTTTGGCACTCACAATGAGTTTGCGGAGTCAGGTTTATGTGCTTAGAATGGGCTGTTCCTTGTCAGCTCCAGATTAGTGGCTAAATTCTTTTGTAATAGAACTGCTGCTTTTTTAGTTATTTCCTACCTTCTGCTGTCTTCAGAAGTCAGGTTCCGCCTAATTATCAAGGGTGGGATCTACACGTAAGGAAGTAGACTACAGAAATTGCAGTTCTTTTGAGATGTTACTTCAACTTGAGCCAGAATTCTAAATTTGCAGCTTTAAGGGTTAGCAGTGCAGGCATGCTTCTCCTGTGTACAAGCAAGTGTAAGATTTGTCTGTACCAAGCTTCTTAAAAAATTGCAATTTAATTCCAGCAGTGTTCTGTATTGTATCACATGTGCTTTTTAACAACCTAATAGGTACGACCCTTTTGATCATTATTTTTAATTTTTTTGCAGACCGGTTAATATGTATGTTACTAGACTGTAACCTATGGTGACCCCTCTTTGACCATACTGTTTAAGTATTTCTTCTTTCTTCTGTAGAAGAAAGACTGCAGGATGTTTTCAAGTGTGTGAGCTGTAATTAAACTTATTTCTTGCTTCACACAAGAGAATGGAAATAAACATAGTTTGGGCTAAACATGAAAGCTAATTAAATATGTGCCAGGGTATATGGGAAGAAAGAGGAAGAAACATAATTTAAAACTAAGTCCTTGGGCTGGGTTTGTGAAAGAGTTAAAGGACAAAAAAAGATAAGGAGGAAGTTTGTGGTATACTAGACCTTTTTTAACCTTTTTTCAGATAATTTCTGTTCAGAAACTTGGGAGAAGTTTTTTCTAGCTGTGCCTCTCCTAATATCACCCTCTTTATTCTTGCAGTTTGTGGTGTTCCTGTGCATTCTAAAATAAAGGCTATAAGAAGAGTGTGATTCTCTGCTTTTATCACCTTAATTTCCTGATTAATTGATAAATTAGGAAGCATTCCCAGTGCAGATTAGATCAGTCGCTTTCAGTTTGTCTTCCTTTTAGGTAAATCACCTTCAGAACTTTTATAGTGCCATCTCTTTTATCCTTTATATACAGTTAACTGTGACTGTTGGATTAATGTTTCATTCTAGGAGGTTTGAGAAGTGGATTCAAACTTTATCTAAGGCCTAGCTTGTTTCAGTTTCCGCTTGCAAAAGGTAACAATTGTGAGCAAGGATTTTGTGTCCATCAGATGTAAAATCTTAGAGCAGAGGCTTTTCTGTGTTCTTACTCTGCACCTAGATTACTGACTGATACGAAGATGTGTTCTTTTTTTAAATACTTTAGTCACAGCATATATAGGAAAAAGGTTCTGATATTTACTGGTTTTGTGGAATGTGTTGGTCTTAAAGGTATGCATTGTGTTTCTTCTAGATTAGAGAGATGTAAGGATAGCAGTTCTAGATCTCGGGTTTCAAAGACTAGCAGAGTATGTGTAACTTCTCTAACCTGTACATACTATTTTTTTACAATATTGTCCAACATTCCCAGGACTGTAAACTGAAGTCAATGTCATTTAGATATGTGAAACCTGAATTTGGGGTTAAAATTGTTATGACATATAGAAGAGAGTATAATCCAAACCACTCAGAGGAAATGTCAAACTAGTTAGTCCCTTCAGATTCATCCAGGTCAGACTCATTTGAAAAACAACTTGGTGGTATTGAGTTGACTGGTGTTCACTACCTAAGTAAGTAACAAAGAGCTTATTTTCTCTTAGTTATAAAAAGAGGTGTGGTATTGTTGAGCCTAGGATATCAGAGTGGAATCCACCTAATGGTTGTCTAGTGGGAAACATGCAACAGCTAGGGGAAGCATGGGAACTTGAACTTAAATTAACGACTTTGAAGGAACATACAGGTGGGATAGTGAATTCCAAACATCCACAATCAATTAATCCTGTGCTGCATTGTACCCTCCTAGACATTTTGTGACTCTGGATTCAAACTTCAATGTCACCCAGTTTCTCTTTCTATAGTATAACCATATCAATGAGATCAGGCTACATGTGCAGGATGCCAAAGATCTTTTTGGCATATACCGTGTTTGAGTTTAATATTGTACGATTGTTTAGTCTTTTATTTTGTAAAAGAGAGACTTAAGCTGTTTATTTTGAAATTCTGCATAAACAAGTTATTTGTGAAACAGTACTTAGTCTTCTTTGAAGTGGTTATATTATTTTTCACTACAGCTGAAGTGGCATTTCTGACTTTTTCATATACATGCCCAAAACCATGGAGCAGCTGTATGGAATTCTTTATGTGTATTTTAGTGTGACCCCTCTGGTCACAGCTTCAAGGTCAGATAGTGAGTTTACTAAGGCACTTAATCAACCTGTATGTCTCTAAGAATTCTGTATCCTGTGTGTTGGTTTCTTCCCTTAGTATGTGTGATTATCTAATGTATAATAGAGATTCTGCTAACAATGTCATCGATGTGAGCTAAGAAGTAGGTTACCAACAGCAAGTTACTGCCTTCTAACATTATCTTTGCTTTGTTGCACCCTGGAAGACAGATTTGGATTGTGTTTTGGAATGCTTTTTTTTTTATTTTTCTGAGCCAACTAATTTGGCATGAGCATCCTTAAAGTGCTAGGAAGCATTTGCAGGCAAGGATGTGTTTGGACGTGGATTGCCAATAGAATAAGTTCAGATAACTTCTGAATGGCACCTGAGAAAGGTCACAGTGAGGAAAGTAGAATTGCAGTGGCATGCAAATAGATTGGAGTGGATTGGAGTTCTGTAAGAGTCGTCCTTTAAAATTAATAAGTTATTGTCTCTTTTTTGGCATGCCAGTCTGTGCATTGCTTAGGATCATACAATGTATTAAAATTCAAATCAATAAGGGTTACCCATTATTATTACTATTACCCATTACTGATCTTCCATGTGGGTGGCAATGAAGCTGTAATGCATAGAGCCATAAAAAGAGACTTCAGAGCCTTGGGGTGGTTGGTGGGAGAAGCTGAGGCACAGGTTGTTTTTTCCTCTCTCCTTAAGTTGAGCACAGAAACAGATGGACACGGTTTATTAACACACATGGCTGCGGCTGGTGTCACGGCCTCAATTCTGGGTTTTTTAGTAATGGGATGGCATATATGGCATGAGGCTTGCTGCCATTGGATGGCACAGTATGAGGCTGGGGGGGGTTTGTGTGGTTGGGGTT